GGGGTGGCAGGGTGAGGGGGTGGAAGGGTGACAGGTGGGGTGGCAGGGTGACAGGTGGGGTGGCAGGGTGACAGATGGGGTGGCAGGGTGACAGATGGGGTGGCAGGGTGACAGGTGGGGTGGCAGGGTGGCAGGGTGACAGGTGGGGTGGCAGGGTGACAGGTGGGGTCGCAGGTACCTTTTTCCCTGGTGGTCCAGTGGTGGCAGACTCCCTGGTTGTCCAGTGGGCTTTCCGGTCTGCAGCTCCGCCGGATGCAGAGCTGCAGACCACATGGGGATTGTCTCGCGATCTCCAGTCAGAGCGTTGCCGTGGTAACCCGCGGCAACGCTCTGATTGGCTGGAGAGCGCGAGACACCTCAGTCTGCAGCTCACACCCGGCGGAGCTGCAGACTGAGGCCGGCTCTCCTGGGCAGACTGACAGGAGGGGCCTCGCACCCGGCGGCACAAAGGGCAAGCCGCCGGGCCCCCTCCTGTGTCGGGTCCTCGAGGACCCGACAAGTCAGTCTGCCCACAGGTGGTTTAGGCGGCCGCGAGGCCCCACACAGCGCGAGGCCTTAGGCGGCCGCCTAAACCGCCTAATTAGAGAGCCGCCTCTGTATACAACCTAGACAATTGTTTTGACTTGGGGCGCCTTGGAAAAATATTGAAATATTAAGGGTGCCTTGAACCAAAAAAGTTTGGGAACCATTGAGTTAATGGAACCAAGTGATGTGTCAAATGCAACACAATGCGAGCCATGTCAGCCCTACAATACCCTCCAGACCTGTATGCTGCCTGTTCAGTAATGTTCAAATTGTACTGACTTAGCAACTCACTATGATGTCAGATGAAATAGTAAACTTGATGGAAAATAATAAGCTATCCACCAGAATCAGGATGATTACAATTTAAAGGGTATCTGTCATAACAAATACAACTTAATCTTAAATAATAGAGAATCCATTTTAATCTATTCACTGAGCTAGCAGAATTGCTAGCAAATGTTTTGATTTTTCTAAAATCAGTGGTTAATGTCGTCCAGGCCATTTCCTCTCAATGACGTGGGCTGAGTACAGTGGTCCTGTCCTTTTTAACCCTGCAATATAAAACATTGCTGTTTTTGAGGGCTACATTGTAGGGTTAAATCCTCCTCAAGTGGCTGTCATACTGACCACCATTAGGGGCGCTTCACGGCACTTACTGAATAAAACGTGAGCAAGAAGTTCCCATTAAAAAAGAAACAATTCAATGCGCATCCTGTATGAGGAGCATTTTATTGGGCCATGCCACCTATATGACATTGTGGAAGAGGTGAGCAGAGCCAAAGGGAGCCTTGGTGCTGGAAAAAACATATGTAAATCTATAATATTCTTAAATTTTTACTGCACACTGGGGAACAATTAACGCATTAGGAAGAGTCCTTCTCTCAGTCAGTTCAGTCTGTGTTGAACCTATGCAGGTCAGCATAGATCTAAGAAGACTGTGCTCTGCATGTCTACTATCAGGAAACCCTCCTCTGAGCATCTTTCTTGCTTGAATTGTAGATTATACTAGCTTTAGTGTAACTATAATCTTAATTTTATTAATGACAGGAGGTGAATATTTGCTTAAGTCTCTCTTTACTAGAACTCCACAGCAGCACATTAACATAGAGAGAAAAAAACAATCACAAAAAAGTAAGGAAGCCATAAAAGGCCCCTCCCAACCAACTACTTCCTCTTTCAAGCTGCGACAAAATAAAGTACATGAACATTATACAACTCAATAGATAGCAGAAGAACCAAACGAGATCAGTCGATGACTGTCATCCAAAACTTGAAACGAACGTTGATCAGTAGATGAACTCCTGAACCCTATCCTGAAGACAGTCTGGAACTTGGATCTGTAGCTGAACAATTAAACTGAAACAAAATAAAGAGAGTCGAAAACTTTGATTAGTGAATGAAATGTACTGTGAAAACATGAATACCCATAATCAATTAATGACCGTACAACATCCCAGAAAACACACTCTGACTTCCCCTAACTAGACAATAACCTGACCTATCTACCACAGTCCTGGAGAACATACTAACACTAAAATTGGTCAATTGAAATCTAAAAACAAGTGGAGGGAGAAACTTGGAGGGAAATATTCACCTGCTGTCATTAATAAAATTAAGATTATAGTTACACTAAAGCTAGTATAATCTACAATTTTATAGCATGACAGAAGGCTTCATATTTGCTGTTTTAACGTTCCAACAGCAAATCAAATGAAGCATGATCCGATGGTCTAAAATAAAATTGGCGAAAGGTATCTTCTCGTGACCAGTCAGCTGAACACATGATGTCTTGAAGGGAAGTGCCCGCCATGAATGCTCCAGAAGCCGCCGCACCTCTAACCGAATGCGCTTCGAAGGTCGAATTCACCCCCGCCAATGCCAATAACCATTTAATCCATTGCACCAAAGTAGAAAACGAGACCGGTTTGTGAGGTCTGACATAAGAAATCAACAACTGGCCGGAATGAGAAGAGCGAAGAGGAGCGGTAATCGCCACATAACGAGACAGAGTCCTCGCTACACAGAGTTTAGGCGTGTTGCGGAAATACGGAAAAAAAATAGCCGTCGAGTCCGCCTAGACACCTTGAAGGAATCTCAGAGGAGGTCCTTAGCCGACTGCGACATTCCATTCTCCCCTGAGAGAGTCCAGGCCACCAAGTGCAGGTAGCCGTCCCTCACAAGGGGATGAGGATTGCTCCGGGAGTCCGAGAGGAGCAACAGAGGTGATGACAGGAGCAGTGGATCTCGATGGGACAGATCCAGGAGCTCCGGAAACCAGGCTTGACCCCGCCACAGCGGAGTCAGCAACACCAAAGACACATGCTGACATCGAACTTGGAGCAATACCCTGGGAATCATAGCAAATGGAGGAAACGCAAAATCGTCCACCGCTGAGCACGCCGGATCCGGGAGCCAGCTGAAGTAGATCGGCACCTGATAGTTCGTCCGGGAGGCGAAAAGATCCACCGTGAATGGGCCCCTCTGTTCCGTGGGCTTGAGGAAGATGGGCTGAAGGAGTTTCCAATCGCTGGCGTTCCTCCAATGTCTGCCAGAAGCGGCTGGAGACACAACCCCGCGGTCGTCCAGCCGAGCCAAAAACTGTGAAGACAGCGGGTGAAAGACCCTCTTCATGGAGGTCTGAGCCTTGTCCGGGAAAGTGAACAGGTTCACATGTTTGTGCAGTTCTTTTATGAACGGTTCCCCGAACAGAAGACCTTTAGCCAAGGGGCCCAATTCCTTCAACCCCAAATCTGACAACTTGTCCATCCTTAGAATTACCGCCTTCCTGCGTTCCGTGGAGAGCGCTACGTTCATATTGCTCAGCAGGCAAATAGAGCGCAAAGCCCAGCCGTGCATGGTGGCTGGGTCCAGGGTAGCCCCTTCCAAGAAGGCCTCATCCGCCAACATTAACATCCTGCATAGGGGACCCAGCATGTCCAATAGCTTGTCCTGCGCCAAGCGTAGACTGCACTCAACCCCTTTCTTTGGATTTCGCCCAATATGGGTCATGTATGTAGAAACCAGGGAATTGAATTCCGGGGTCGTGGCGACCTTATACGGCAGTACAGGTCTGGGGCATTCTGCCCAAAGCTTTCTGTGAACCTCCCAATCCAGAGGTCTGCGGACACAGTCATGCACGAATGGTGCTAAGTGGTCGGGGAGGGACCATTCGGAGGACCTGGGGTGTCGAATGGTCCGAGGGTTGAACAGGGGTTCGCACCTGATGTCCAGGAAAGTGTCTTCGTCCATGGCCGTAGCCATCGCCCCAGGCGTGGAGGCGTCCTCAACTTTATGGCGCCATTTAGGTTTTGTCCCCATAGTCCTCGTCCCACTCAACCTCCTCCTCGGGGGGGGACTGATCCACCCGCCATTCATCCAGGGTGGCCATAGATGGGAGGGTATAGAATCTCCTCCCCCGCACCTGACAAGCGATGGCGCCTGGCCAGAGATTCTGACATAGTTGAGCCTTGCCTTTCCGGGAGTGTGGATCAGGGCCTTCACCCTTCCAGTAGCACCCCTGCATACTTGCCTGATCTCTCCTAGGAGAGTCTGACTCAGCCGAGTCATCTGCCATCAGGGGGATCCCCTAGTGCCCCACTCGGGTTGAGTTAGAGGGAGGGCCCTAGCCAGGGCCTTTTCCATGGAGGCGGCTGCTGCCGCATTATTCATGGCCTGCAGCTTCTGCTCCTGGGTAGATGGTTCCATGATCAAGTAGTCGTGGACAATGTGACACCTAGGGGCATAGAGGACAGGTGTCACCAGCAGGTAATCGGGGCAGCACCCCTAATAGTGGCAGAGGCAAGTAAGCTAGCGCATGCAGGGTCCAAATGAGAGTACGGAGCCGCCAGGCCAGGGGTACACAGAGAATGGCACAGACAGTGCAGGCCAAATCAGGGGGCACAGACAAAGCAGGCCAATCAATGGGGCACAGACAAAGCAAGCCAATCAAGGGGCACAGTAAAAGCAGGCCAATCCAGGGCACAGCCAAAGCAAGCCAGTTATAAGGGCACAGACAGAGCAGGCCAAATAATGTGGTACAGACAAGGCAGGTTAATCAGAGCGTGCAGGGAACATGCTGAGGGCAGGTTTCAGGCATGCAAAAATTAATGAATAAGAGTCCACAGAAATTACATTAAGCTAACATATGTGAATAAGACATTATAGATTGACATGGGCATAAACAGAACACCCTATACGATCTTTATTACATCTAGAAAACATACACAAAATTAACATGTTTATACCTTTAAAACTAAAGAACGTAATACACTCTATCTCCTAAGATAGACCGGCACTGAGCCGACACCCCCCAGCATGGCCACGAGGTAGCGAGAGGGTGAGTGCCAGGAGGCCGGGAGCAGCAGCTCCCACGTGGCCAGTTTGGTTAATCCGACAACCCCGAGAGGAAGCGTGGGCAGGGTGAGAGAGGCAGGAGACAGCTCCCACTCGGCAGACGGAGATGGCGGCCGGGATCTAACATGTGGGATCGTTGGAGTCGTACTCTGCGGTCCCGGTGGTCGGCAACCGATCCCCGGTGAACGCAAGTAAAACAAGCGAAGGGGGGAAGAAGGGGTAGGGTATGCGGAGAAGGCAGGAAAAAGGAGTAAAGAGACAGAGCTACCCTAGTCCCCCAATCCTGCAGAACAGCCCACAGAGAAAGCCCCAAGCAGGGAGAAATCATGCAAAACACCCCCATACAACAATCGCACAAAATACAGAAATAGACAGAAATCAATACAGGAATAAACAGTATAATGCAAAAAAATATCCACAGCCACTCAATGTTAACAGGAGGCAGTGGTACTCTGACCTGTGCTTGATGTGGAGCAGCAAAGAAAGACGAAGTAGTTGGTTGGGAGGGGCCTTTTATGGTTTCCTTACTTTTTTGTGATTGGATTTATCTCTCTATGTTAATGTGCTGCTGTGGAGTTCAAGTAAAGAGAGACTTGAGCAAATATGAAGCCTCCTGTCATGCTATAAAATTCAGCCTAAGGGAAATTTGAGCGACAGTAGCTGTTCGATGTGATAGGACCATATGGGCTAGCCTTCTCTCCACACGTGCTTCAATTAACCTTTTGCACCCATAATTCTGATACTGGATCACTGGTTATGCTGCAAGACTTGCTGTTTTGGAGATGCCCTTGTCAAAGTGACTCTTTGTAAAACTAAAAATCAAAGTAAATCTTTTTTGCTAGCCTATTTTTCCTACTTGTAACTAGAGTTGAGCGGACACCTGGATGTTCGGGTTCGCCGGGTTCGGCCGAACATCGTCAAAAAGTTCGAGTTCGGCCTCAAACTTAACCCGAACTTGACCCCGAATCTGAACCCCATTCAAGTCAATGGCGACCCGAACTTTTGGGCACTAAAATGGCTCTAAAAGAGTCATGGAAAGGGCTAGAGGGCTGCAAAAGGAAGTAAAATAGGGGTAAGAGTAGGACAAGTGCCCTGCAAACAATTGGGGTAGCCCCCAAAATATTGGGACATATAAAAAAAGAAAACAGAGAATAAGTGCACTTGAGTATAACAATGGCTGAGTGAGGCCGGTATAAATGTTTATTCTGCACAAGGTACAGACAAGTCTGGTGGGATCCATGCCTGGTTCATTTTAATAAATGTGAACTTGTCCACGTTGGCTGTGGACAGGCGGCTGCACTTGTCTGTGATAACGCCCCCTGCCGTGCTAAACACACGTTTAGACAATACACTGGCTGCAGGGAAGGCCAGCACCTCCAAGGCATAAAGGGCAAGCTCAGGCCATGTGCCCAATTGGAAACCCAGAAGTTGAATGGGGCAGACCCATCAGTCAGTACGTGTAGGCGTGTGCACATGTACTGTTCCACCATGTTGCTGAAATGCTGCCTCCTGCTAAGACGTTCCATATCAGCTGGTGGTGCTGGTTGTTGTGGCATGCTGACAAAGCTTTTCCACATTTCGGTCATGCTAACCCTGCCTTCTGAGGTGCTGGCGGTGCCCCAGCTGCATTGGCGACCTCTTCCTCCTCCTCTGCCTTTGCCTTGTGCTTCCACTGAGCCCCCCGTGTCAGTTGGGAATGCCCTCAGCAGCGTGTGTACCAGCGTGCGCTTGTAGTCGCGCATCTTCCTATCACGCTCCAGTGAGGGAATTAAGGACGGCACATTGTCCTTGTAACGGGGATCCAGCAGGATGACCACCCAGTAATTAGCAAAAGTTAGAATGTGGGAAACTCGGCAGTTGTTGCGCAGGCACTTTGGTGACTCTAGATAACCTTGGGCCGATCGCATGTCCGTGTGACGGCGACAATGCATTCGGATGTCTTCCCTATCAGCTTTTGATGGTACTTTCTGCACCTACCATGGTGACCAGGGTTCGATTCCGTAGAAGGAGCCTGAGAAATGGCTACCACATCCAAGGAAGGCAGCAGGCGCGCAAATTACCCACTCCGGACGCGGGGAGGTAGTGACGAAAAATAACGATACATGACTCTTTTGAGGCCCTGTAATTGGAATGAGTACACTTTAAATCCTTTAACGAGGTTCTATTGGAGGGCAAGTCTGGTGCAGAGCGACTGACCCATGCGTGCTGCAGCTGAAACTCCACTATCGCCTGCTGCTGCTTGCACAGTCTCTCCAGCATGTCCAAGGCGGTGAGCGGGAAGGCCGAAGTTACGCTGCAGCGCAGACAGGCATGCAACAGGGTGAGAACGCCGAAAGCGTGCACAGACGGCCCGCACTTTCTGCAGCAGCTCTGGGTATCTGGGTAGTTTTTCAGGAATTTCTGCACCACCAAATTCAGCACATGCGCCAGGCAAGGGATGTGCGTCAAACCGGCTAGGCCCAGAGCTACTACGAGATTTCACCCATTATCGCACACCACCAGGCCGGGCTTGAGGCTCAGTGGCAACAAGCACTCATCGGTCTGTTGTTCCATGCCCGTCCACAACTCAGGTTTAGCACGTTTATGCCTCGCTTCAGGCTAAGATTGCACAGCTTGCAAACCACTCGTGTCTTGTCGTCAGCACATTGTCTGAAGAACTGCCATGCCAGGGAACTCCTTGGAGCTGGTTTTGGTGTGCTCGGTCCCTGGGTGTGGTGGGCAGTAGCAGGCGTACAGTCTAGGGGGCGGCCGCTCCGCTTTTGCACCCTGCTCCCTCTTATGCTGTGCTGGTGCCTCTGTGCGACCACCGCCTCTTCAGAGATGTGCTGCGGTTGTCCTCGCTTGTCCACATCCTGAAACATAAGTGGTTGTGCATCAGTGCACTCAATTTCTTCTGATTTCTTCCACTTCTGGGCAGGGCTAGGTGGATGGCCCACGGAAACCCCACCAGCAGAGTCATCAAAAAGCATAAGAGACTGCAGCATGACTTGTGGCTCAGACTGCTTGGCTGATTTGCAAGGGGGTGAGGTGAAAGACAGATGGCCATGGGCTGCAGGTGCCAACTCTTTCAGCAGGGGACTGGGTGGGAGACAATGTGAAGGAACTGGAGGCACTGTCAGCCACCCAATCTACTATCGCCTGTACTTGTTCTGGCCTCACCATTCATAGAGAGAGCATTCGGGCCTACCAAATAACGCTGAAGGTTCTGTCGCTTACTCGCACCTGAGGAAGATGTTTCACTTGTGCGTGTAGCTGGCACAGATCGACCACGTCCTCTCCCTGCAACAGGAGCTCCACCAATACCAGCAGCACCATGACCAAGGCCACGTCCCTTATTTGATGCTCTCCTCATTCTTTGCGTTCACCCACCAAACTAATAGATAGTTTATGTCAGGCAACAATGTAACCGCCAATAGTCAACATTTAAGTTCACTGACAGTAAGGCAGTGCCGGTGTCCTAAAGAGAAAAAAATTCTAGAGGTCACACAACAGTGTGACAGGCGTAATTAATACAGTTACTTCACTGTCTCAAAAAAGTGTGATTTTTTTTAACCAACAATGTAAGAGTAGTATTTAAGGGTTTTATTGGACTGCAAGAAATGCACCGCAGGCTGCAAATGTTCTATTTAGCACAAAAAAAATTGATTTTTTAAACCAACAGTGTAAGAGTAGTATTTAAGGTTTTTATTGGACTGCAAGAAATGCACCGCAGGCCGCAAATGTACTATTTAGCACCAAAAAAATTAGAATTTTTCAAAGTGCGATGTAACCACAGTATTTGACGGTTCCATTTGACTCTCAGATATGAAGTGCACGCCCCAAATTTAATTTTTAGCACCAAAAAAATTTGAATTAGTCAAACTGCTATGTCACAGCAGTATTTGACGGTTCTATTTGACTCTCAGATATGAAGTGCATGCCCCAAATTTACTTTTTAGCACACAAAAAATTTGAATTGGTCAAACTGCGATGTAACCACAGTATACGAAGGTTCTATTTCACTCTCAGATATGAAGTGCAAACTCCAAATTTAATTTTTAGCACCAAAGAAATGTGAATTTTTCAAAGTGCGATGTAACCACAGTATTTGACAGTTCTATTTGACTCTCAGATTTGAAGTGCATGCCCCAAATGTACTTTTTAGCACCCAAAAAATTTGAATTTTTCAAAGTGCGATGTAACCACAGTACTTGACGTTTCTATTTCACTCTCAGATATGAAGTGCACACCCCAGATTTGCTTTTTAGCACAAAAAAAATGTGAATTTGTCAAACTGCGATGTAACCACAGTATTTGACTGTTCTATTTGACTCTCAGATATGAAGTGCACACCCCAAATTTACTTTTTAGCACACAAAAAATGTGAATTTGTCAAACTGCAATGTAACCACAGTATATGACGGTTCTATTTCACTCTCAGATATGAAGTGCACACTCCAAATTTAATTTTTAGCACCAAAGAAATGTGAATTTTTCAAAGTGCGATGTAACCACAGTATTTGACAGTTCTATTTGACTCTCAGATATGAAGTGCATGCCCCAAATGTACTTTTTAGCACCAAAAAAAATTGAATTTTTCAAAGTGCGATGTAACCACAGTACTTGACGTTTCTATTTCACTCTCAGATATGAAGTGCACGCCCCAAATTTGCTTCTTAGCACCAAAAAAATGTGAATTTGTCAAACTGCAGTGTCACAGAAATATTTAAAAATGCCTAGATGTTGCCCACTGAGCTAGAAGAACAGGATTAAAGTAATGTGCCTGGCACACATGCAGTTGCAAGTGCCCACCTAACAAACAGACTGCTTATTTCTCTGTGGCACTGGGCTCAGGGCAGGGTACAAAAATGTAGTATAGCACCCACAAAAATATTCGCTGTAGTTTGCAGATTCAACACCAGAATTCTTTCCTTATCTGTCCCTCACAGCTGCAGCATCCTCTCCCTACACTAATAAGAGCTCATGTGACTCCAGCTTATATAAAGGCTGGGTCACATGCTGCACTGGCCAATCACAGCCATGCCGTTAGTAGGTATGGCTGTAATGGCTTCTAAGGGCACACAAGTCAAACGCTTGTTGATTGGCTGCCCTGCAGCTCTTCAAAACACGCCATTAAATCGCCGAACACCGAACTCGAACCTGAACTGTTACTGAAATGTCCAGGTTCTGGTTCGGGGTCCAAAAATCGTAATGTTCAGTACGAACCCGAACTTTACAGTCGTAAAGTTCGGGTTCGCTCAACTCTACTTGTAACACATAAAAAAACGACTGTTCAGTTGCTGCCTGATATATCCCACCACTTTACAAGTGCCATTGTAATGGTATAATCAATGTCATTCACTTCACCTGTCAGCATTTTTAATGTTTTGACTGATCACTGTATATTTCTCATATCAAGTGCACTTTAAAATCACTCATCGTCATTGAATCACACTGCCAAAGCTGGTTACAGTGATGCACGGTGGGAAAACTGACAACAGTTGAATAGACAGACTAAGTTGTTAATTTAGTAAATAACAGTTTGTCAATGACACCTAACATTCAGATTGGTTTGTTGGAGGGCACTCACACCAAAGCAAACACAGATTGCGGCCAAGGGGTGCTTACTGTGATTATTCTGTTTCCTTCAGGGCACAATCCATACAATGAAACATAGTACAGAAGCACACCAGGTTAAAAAAACAAATAATCTTTATAAGAAATGCAAAATAACAGTTTATTCTATATATAAGAGAAGTCAAACTACAATCACAAATATTACACGATATTTGCAAAATCTAATACTTAGGTATTAGGTATTCACCATACCTAAGAAAAGTCTACATCACAAATAAGACAAAGAGCAAGTACAAAAATATACATATGAATGGGATTACAAACCAGATGATAAGAATGCAAAAGTGTAGTGAGTGAATTGCGGATCCTGATACCAAAACAAAAAAAACATTTCAACCAAAAGCTCCTTGTTCTTCATACTTCTTCTTGTATTGTGTTTAAATCTGTAGGTATACTGAGTGTATACAGTTGTGTAAATGCATACAGGGTTCAAGATAATATTAGCAGTGGTTATGGTAAATGGGGGTTTAGAGTGGTTTATATCAGAATACTAAAAAACGTGCAAGTGTTAGTTGCTCACTAAATCCAGTATACAGGCAGCAAATCTTACAAGGAGTCCCCAACCTTGTGAAAACATAAAAATCAAACAAACAAAAGTAGATTGCAACAAAGAGAATTGATAATGTCACAATAATATACATACAATGTTTACTTTTGTAGTGACAGGTATCTCAAACAAAAGGAAACAAAATATACAAAATATTGAAGTATGTTTTAACAGTAAGCTAAAATATAGTGGTGTAACAGGGATAAACTCACACTTTTGAGATACCTGGCACTACAAAAGTAAACAGTGTACAGTGAGACTTCGGTTTACGAATTTAATGCGTTCTCCAGGATGTTTTTTGTGAAAAATTTGTAAACGGAAATGCGGTTTCCCATAGGAATGCATTGAAAACCAATTAATCTGTTCTGGAGGTCAGAAAAAGTCAAAATGAGCTGGCATGGAAACCAACCCACAATGCAGAACACACAATAAAAGGCATGACAACGACGAAGCTCAGTTCCCTACCTTTCCACAGCTTGAGAAATGCACCAAAAAGTCTCAAAACAACTGAAAACAATTTCCAGAATGGCTCCAAATCTCGATACAAAAGCTGCTCCAACACCTCCACACTCGATGCCACGTGCCACCCACAGGCTCCAGCATGCAGAGGGCGGTGCTATAAAGCTCCCAGGTGCAATGCATCCTGGGGAAACTCGCTTTGTATTGCTAAAAAATTTGTAAACCGAGGCATTATTTTCAATGGATTTTCATTTGTAAACCGAAAATTATGTTAACCGAGTTTCCACTGCACATATATTGTTGTGAAATTATCAATTCTCTTTTGTTTGTTTGGTTAGTATCCGAGTTAAAATACACAAGGAGTTGAGTGTTAATAAGACATAAATGCTTGAAATGGGTTATAGTTGTGGTATACGGGATGTTTAGATTTTTTTCCTTTAGAGTTAAAGTGGAGTTAAATTTAATATTTAATATTTAGTTTTTTAAGATGCGTTAAACCTAGTATTAAGGTAAAGGGTTTTGTTTCAGGTTTAGACTTTAAGTGCATTTGGCACAAAGAAAATTGTGTGTTTATGTTTTTGGATGGGTTCCATTTAGGATTAAGGGAAAAAAAATTGTGTTTATGGTACAGACATGTGGAGTTTGAATGGTTATTTTCAAAATACTCACCCTTCTATGATTGATACTAGAACTGCAGTAGACTAGCTTTTGTGCAGTGTGCATTCCGCAATGCTGTCTCTAGAGGCTGTTAGTGAGCAGATGGAAAGTGATCCCTTCCATCTCCTGTCTAGCCTCAAACACAGACAATGGAGGAGCTGAGGCAGCACTGAATTTTACATCTACATAAGCTCCAAATATGCTAAATATGCACATTATTAATGCGGTAAATAGGTGCCCCTACACGATAGGCACCTACTCTGTCTGATGGGAAATTCAGCCCTGAGGAGAATAGTTCTAAACTTTAGCCACATGAACCTTTAATGATTGATGAGTCACAACAATGCCTAATTCAAAAGTAGACACTCTCCTAAATCCTAGAAAATGTGAATGAAATGTGTAATTCAAAATGGGAGCAAATTCAAATGTCCATCATTTTTTTTTATGCATACAGAAAAACCTCTTCAACTTATATGTAGAGTACATTTTGGCTATGAGAGAATATTCAAACCATATATAAAATGGACAAAGCTGGATTCAGAATCCAAAGAAATCCTCCTTGAAGAAACTAACAAATGGTAACTACAGGAAAACGCATTAAAGGAACAAAGAATCATACAGTATTGTAATGGAGTAACTTGCATGTTATAGGCTATAACAGGGGTAGGCAACTTTTGGCAAATATTTAATGCCTCCTTAACCTCATTTTTTGGAAGTTAGAGAAAATAGTATTAAGATTATTTATTCAGCAGGAATTGACAAAGGAATTACAACATTCTTTCCATAATCATCAATATAGGAAACATTTTACAGATATTTTTCCAAATAAATTATTTTTGGTCTAAATATGTAAATATGTTCATTCTCTGCAATTCCAGTTAAATAAATAAACTCTCATATCATTCTTTGTCACGCAATGCTTTCAGTTCTCCAAAAATGTTTCCTACCAGGTTTCTACGGATATGGACTCCCATCCCACCCTTTTAATATTTTCCTAAACAATCACTGTTCCTTTCATCAAAAGAAAAAAAAAAACAACAAAAGAACTTAAAGGGACACTATAGTCACCAGTGCAACTACATGTATTCCTGACCCTATAGTGTTAACACGACCATCTAGCCCCCCTGGGCCCCTCATGCCTCCATAAATATAGTAATAATCTTACTGTATTCAAGCCAGAAGCTGTAAATCTGCACTCTGGAAAAACAAGCAGTCTGCTGACATGTGATAGCCTGATCCAATCACAGTACTTCGCAATAGGATTGGCTGAGACTGACAAGGAGGCAGTTCAGGGGCAGAGCCAGCATGATTCAAACACAGCCCTGGACAATCAGCATCTCTTCATAGCGATGAATTGAATCAATGAATCTCAATGAGGAAAGTTCAGTGTCTGCGTGCAGTGGGAGGAGATACTGAATCACAGGATGCTCGTGCACAGCAGATCTGAGTGGATGGAAGCATATTATGCCTCCATCAACTCAGAAGTCCCTCTGGTTCACTCTGAGTGACTGCAGCTGGAGGTGTCCCTAGCTTTCAATGTAAACACTATACTTTCTCAGACAATACAGTGTTTACATGAGAAAGGCTGCAGGGAGCTATAGTTCTCACCTGAACAACCTCATTAATCTGAAGTTGTTCAGGTGACTATAGTGTCCCTTTAAGTAGAAAGTTAATGGATGCAAATCTTTAATTTATATTGTACCACACAGATAAACTCCCTGAACAATTTTCTTCTCTTTACAGATCTCTTTTCAAATAATATTTATTATATTTTTGAAAAAACTCAAAATCAGCTAATGAAAAAGGTACAGAATAAAAAAATGGAAAAAGGGGGGACTTTTCTCTACCCAAAACTATATTGTACATAAAAATTTGGCTGCACTCACAGTCTTCTTGTAGTCAAATGTAGTAACCGAATGAACGAATGGCATGTTCATTCTGTTTTCATTTGTTAGTTCTGCTCACTCACATCAAATCTGATGGGACTGAGCCGAACTAACGAATGTGTATGAATGAATGTGCCATTCGTTCATTTGTATTACTAGTTCGGCTTTTGAATTACAGTCAGGCAGTGTACTGTGTCTGTTAAAGTATGTTATCTTTATGCATTTCTAGTAAGATGAAAATGAAAATCCAATCTGTTGATGCCAAGAATAAATTCCCCCCAAATGGTGTTTTGATGTAATATTGTAATACATATTAAACATGTTCCCTATATATGCTCAATGTTTCCTTTTCTTTTCAAGTAACAATGAAAAAGACGTTGAAGGTACACACTGTTTCCTGACAACCAGGATAAATAAAGTTAGTTTAGATGAACTTAATGACATTTACCGTTGCTATGCCCAGAATTCAGTGGGAAATTCAACAACAGTGATTAAGCTAGTGCAGAAACACACAGGTAAATAAGTTTGCAGTATTTTTCATTCTATAACATATTCTTGAATTTGTTACTCCCTCTATTATTTTAGTGTGTTGATCTTTGTCAATGCTGCTTTGTACTGTTCTTGCACTTCTTTTGTTATATTGGTTTAATATTTCACCCAGTTCTGTATATCCTACCATAATCTCTTTCTGGATTATGCTTCCATAATTTTCTCTTGATTATCATTTATAATCTTCCCTACACTTTTTATACCTTCTCTTAATTTATATAACCACACAAACCTAGTACAGAATATACTCGTTATTGCTGAATAACAATATCTGTATTCTAAGCACATTATCTGTTTACATGGCTTAATTTAAAGAAACTGTCAGTTATAATGTTGTATCAAACTAAATTCAGAATTCTACATGCTTTTACAATGTACAAATTAATGTCGTCCCCTTCATAGATAACGTCCCCTTTAATGAATCCTGTAATACTCAGACAAGCCTTTAGGAGTATTGTTACTAAATTTGTAAATAACCCCTTTTCGAGCAATCTGTGCTGGTTTGTATCTGTTCATATAGCTCTCTTAAGTGTCTCTCTCTAGTCCTCTCAGTTATTGTTCCCTTTCCCACATTATTTCCCTTTCTCCCTATTATGTCCCACCACCACAATTTTCTCTCCATCCTGCCAGCCCGTAATTGTGTCTCCATCATCCAACCCCCAACTTTTTTACTTACATATTTTGATAGCCAAGGTCAGGTAAAGTATATAAATTACTTAACTTGAGCAGCATGCATGTGGCAATGCAGGCATTTGTACAACACTGCTGAAGAACATTGTAAGCATTTTAAATTTTTTCCTGAGAATCCATGTGCACAGCCTGAGGCATCACAGTGTGGTGTAGTTGCTATAACACAGAAGTGCAATGGAGGCAAGCATGTTTTTACTTACCTCCACTGCATTATACACTTGTATAAATAATGAAATAGAGTTTATTGCCGTGAAGGAACAACGAATTCTCACTACTGTGGAAGTAAAAGTTTCTCTTATACTAGTAATTACAAAAATTACATTTTATCTAATATTTATCAATACCATAAAAACTCATATTGGTGTAACTTAAGAAATAATGATACAAATTAAAATAAACACAATGGTTGGAATCACAGTAGTGACAACTTAGTGATGGCAAAATCCAAAGGCCATCATTTCCTTCTTATTCTTTTTGAACTTACTACAGTTTTCGACGCTGTTGATCACCTATTTCTCGTCCTCACCCTTCGCAACCTTGTCCTTGGTGGCATTGCTCTCTTATAGTAGTACTCTTCCTACCTCTCTAACTGCTACTTCAGTGTCTCCTTGTCTGGTTATTCCTTTTCTTCTGTACGTCTTTCAGTTGGCGTTTCTCAAATCCCTGTACTGGTTCCATTTTTTACTTATTTAGACTGCCTCTCTTGTTGACCTGATATCATTCTATCGCTTTCAATATTACCTGATCTTTCTCCCCATCTGCTGGATCATGTCACCGAATGCCTTTTCTTTGTCATTGACTGGATAACTTTATGTTTCCTAAAACTCAACCTCTACAACACTGAACTCCTTGTCTTTCCTTCATCTGAGGCAATGTCTGTCCTTGTATCCCTTCAGGTCAATAGAAAAAAAACTAACCTCTACCCGCAGTCGCATTGTCTTGGTATTCTTTTTGACTCTGACCTTTCCTTCAATGCTTATAAAAAAATCTAGTCTCTTTCACTTTAAATAAATTACTTGTGTTTACCCCTTTCTCACTCAGGAAGTGACCAAAATGCTTGTCGTTGCTCCAATTGTTTTCCACCTGTGGTTTCTCTGTGGTCCGCAATGAATGCCTCTGCCAGACTTGTCTACCTTAGGTCATGTGACTTTCAAATTTCACACGTCTTTCAGACTCTATACTAACTTCCTGTTTTATTTAGGTTCCAGTTCAATGTTCTCGTGCTTACTTAACAAGCTCTCCACAACTCTGCCTCTGTTTATATCCACAAATCTGCCTCTGTTTATAGTCATGTGACTTTCACTAGCAGATATGTTCAAGCCTGAGCACTTTGCTTTGTCAATGACCCTTTACTGTCCCGTTCTTGTACCCGCAACCTAGACTCACACCTGCAACACCTCTCCAGGGCTCTCCTTACTTATGGAATGTCCTCCCATGCCACTTTTGATTTGCTCTGCCTCTACAGTTCTTATAAAAAATCTCAAAAAGGTTGTTTTTTTTAGAAAAGCCTATCTGCTTAACCCTTAACCTTTCATCCCTGATAACTTATCTCTGCTGTCTTCCAACCTCTGTACATATTCCCAATTGCCTCTCCCATTCTTTCAGATATATCCAAATAATTTGATACTCTCACTTCCCTCTGTGTATTTGTTCCTCATCCTTTTAGATTGCAAGCTTGTTTGCTCAGGGCTCTCTTCACCTACTGTTCCTGTATGTCAAATGTGTTTTGTTTGTCTTGTTTTAACTATTTTGCAAACTGTGGAATATATTGGCACTTTATAAATAATTGGAATTTTAATTGTAATGTTTGTTTCGCATTTTTATTTTCAACAGACATCGTATTTCTAGTGTATGTGCTATCTGTTTCTGTGGCAGTGCTAGTGTTTTCTCTAGCAGGGAGTGGAATGATTTATTTTTACTGGATTGAAATTGTGCTAGTTTACAGGAACTATTTGTCAAATGATGAGACTATTGGGGGTAAGTTTTATCATCTATCATGAGAGATATAGTTTGTAAAAAGAAGTGTATGCAAACCTGTTTTGTTTTATTTAACCTTTCATTGTTTTGAGATTATTTTTAAAAAGAGAAATTAAATTTGAATCAAATCTGTGGAAATATTAATATAACACATAATAAAGTAAGGTTATATCAAATTAAAATATTGTTTAAAAATGACAAGTATTCTGTGTAATATTTCTTTTAATTATTCATAACACATCAATTGTGCATTTATTTTGCTTCTTTAATATTAAAGGACAAAAAAAATATTACAGCATGATCTTGTAGAACTGAGGTAGAGGTTCATCATGTTCTTCTGATCTGTCCAATAGGGAGTTCCAAGTAGAATGCAGAGAATAGAATGTCATATGCCCATAGAACGTCCACTATTTGCGTGTTGCTTGGGCTCCTTATCAGAGAGGGCAGATGAACGTGAGGTTTTCTTCTTGCTTGCAAGGCCAAGCTACAAGTGCTAGTGCAGCTCTGTGCTGCTCCTTCCTACCATTCAAGCATGCTATTGAATGATCTTATATTTATTTTTTTGAATGTGATCTGTAACATTGAAGAGGTAAATTCTGCATATTGCATTAGTAAGTGACTATGAGAAGCATTCTTTGCAACTCACTCTTTTTTACCCTCGTTGGCTATCCTCTTCTTTTTTGTTTATTTTTCTACTAAGTACATTTTCTTATCTCCTATTCGTTATTCCATGCCACTTATTTAAATATAAAGGATAGAAATGGAAATGTTACATCCAGTGAATGTGGCTCTATATGGGAAGTGATTTGTAAATGATACTGTTTAAATTAGTGCAATTTGAGAATTTTGTTTTATAATTAAACGGATTTTTTTTTTTTGAAAACCTAAAATATAGTGTACCAGTAAACATTGCATATTATCATTTTATATATAAAAAAAAATTGGAAAAACATTTTGCTACAGTCATTCGTCAAATAAATTATCCATGTAAATACACTGATATGAAAGTATTGCTGGTATGAGGGGGAGTGACCACAATAAAAGGCTTATTGCAGTATACATATATTTGTGCAAAAACTATAAAGATTTGAATAAGCCAAAATACAGCATATTAATGAGGCTAAAACCTTTCAAGTGCATTAAAGTTGTAATGGTTCTCGGAGTGTCCCTTTAAATCTAACTATGGCAGAATTCCTATAGTTTGATTTGAACATAAAGGTACTTTCAGACTGAGATAAGTTCCTTCTGTTGTATTCTAAATATACATACATGAGCTTCCAATGAAACAAGGTTGTTTTAAATGACTTAATATTTATGAATGGTAGCTCTTATTATGTTAATGGGAGCAATGCAATGTAACAATGAGATCTTACATAAAGCACAAGTAAAGTTTATCTATACACTTCATCATGACCTTTGAGTAGTGTAAAAGTAGATTTTCTTTTTTAAATGACAGTTTTATGGCTAGTCAGTTGTTATCCTGTGCAATGGAAAATAATATACAGTTAGAAAATACACAAAAGGCAACAGCCAATAATCACATGAATGGTTAAAGTAACCCCATGAAATATTATAGTGACTGTAGAAAACCAAGTTCTTATCAAATTTTAACAAAGAATATGAGAACTCTGAGAATGGACACAAACTTAGAGGTATTCAGTAGGTTGCCCTTCAGTAAATCCCTGCTTAGGTTCCAAGATTGTTTTTACTCACTTGTGCCATTACAGAGAGAGCATAGTCTGAAGCATATCAGACTGGTCCCACCTGTGGGGGAAATCCAGAGCTGAAATGCCAGCAAGTTCTCTCCGCATGAGAGATACAGCAACATCGATAAGCGTTTTGGCTTTTTTGGGGCCTTGTCAGTGAGGTGTAGCTGATACACCTTTAGGTCCATGTCTGGATTACACTTTTAACTTGGGGAGAGCCATGTTAATGCACTTCAACAAAAATAAAGAATCTAAAAACTCTGAGAATGGACAAAAGTTTAGAGAAACTCAGTAGCTTGCCCTTCGGTAAATCCCAGCTCAGTATTTAAAATAGTTTTTGCTCACTTGTGCCATTACAGAGAGAACATAATCTGCAGCATATCAGACTGATCCCATCCGTAAATGCAATCCAGAATCAAAATGACAAGTTCTCTCTGCACAAGTGATACAGCAACCCCAGATGATCATTTCAGCCTTCTTATCCAATTTTATTTCATCAACTTTAGAAAAGTGGAACAAGTTAAATGTCATTATTAAAACTAACAATCACTGGAGAAATAACATAATGCAATTCTATTTATCAATTTCGTGCATTCATATATATACTTGTTTAGAATTGGATATATGCTTTCAATCTGTTAATCAGACACGCAAACTTGTAAACACACATATAATGTTTTTGTTTCTTTAGATCATAAGGATTTTGATGCTTTTATATCCTATGCAAAGCACAACTGGGAGTCTGATGTGGAGGATTCCATGAACAGTTATAATGAAGAAAGATTTGCAACACAGTTGCTGCCAAGTATACTGGAGGACAAATATCAATATAAGCTTTGTATCCTAGAAAGAGACATTCTTCCAGGAGGAGGTGATGCATGGTTCATGTTTTTGTTGTTTTAAAATTACTTTAAAGGGAAAAATATAGTCACCAAAACAACTTTAGCATAACAAAGTAGTTTGGTTTATAGATCATGTCGATGTAAAGCGTCGTCTGATGTTATCTCTTCCTTTATTGTAAATTCTGTTTCATTTAGAATTTCCTGCTCTGGTAATAGCTTGCTAGATCCTGCAGGAGTCTCCTGCATGTAATTAAAGTTCAAATTACAGAGCAGGAGATAAACACTTTTAAAGTGAGTTAACATGTGATTGAAAATGAAACCATAGGTTTTCATGCAGGCTGTATCAGTCACGGCCAGGGAAGGTGTGGCTAGTGCTGCATATATACTTTAATTCTAGTTCAAATTTTATTTGCAAAATTAACCAATCTGACAACATTTGGTGAGGAGTTAAACTCAGTGTGTGATGCAGTAGTTACTACAATAATAAACAGGGGAGCTTGATAGAATGTTAATAGAGTCCCATATAGTGAGTGGGTTAATCTCCTATGTATCGCTGCTATGTATCACTAGGCAACTAGTCTGCAACCAGGATTTCTATAAGCCTTGTCAGTCACAGTTGATTTCTTAATACCTTTGTATATTTGTCTTTACTAATTTACAGCTTATATTGCGGACGTTGTTGGAATTATAAAAAGGAGCAGGAGAGTGATTTTTGTACTATCCCAAGAATACATAAGTGGACCAAGTTTGTTTGAATTGGAAGCAGCGGTTAAGTGCTCCTTAGAAGAAGAAGCACTCAGGTTGATTCTGGTTAAGTTTAAACCATTTAAAGTACCTGAGACCATACCAAATGTTGTAAAGAAGGCATTGAATTCTCTGCCCATTGTCTGCTGGAAGGAGGGCACTAATAAAGCTGCATTTCATGAAGCTAAGTTCTGGAATAAGATCAGATATTATATGCCAGTCAAGCACAGGAAAAGTAAAACAGAAAGCAATGTAACTGAGAAAACCAGCTTTTGTAATAATGGAAATTCTATTTTGATGGAACAGTTCCTAACTAGCTAAACTCATGGACCATGTCAGAAAAGAACAAAGTGGAAGAATGTGGAAGACATAATAAAATCAGAATAGAAGATTCTCTACTAACTATTATAATAACTTCTTCAAGAAAATAGATTGTTTACAGAGCAAGCTTATTTTGCACCCAAGGAATGGGTTTCAGTAAGCAGTGGCAGTATGTTAGAAATTAATGTGATTTGCAATATTTTGTCCCACAATTTCCCGTGCAAAACTGCCTACTTTGATGTTTTGTGTTAAATATAACTGATGTTATTATGTTTTGCTAATAACAGATAATTGAAACGCAGAGTTGAAATAAAGAATCTTCTTTCACATTTCATGTACTTAAAAACAACAAAAATAAAGTGCTTTAGATGACAGATGCCATTCTGGGACAATCCTGTGGTGCAAGTAGCTATATGCATAGGAAAACATTGTGTAAGGAAAACATTTCAGAATATTGCAACCAATGTTCTGATTATATTTTCTTGAAGTCCAATAACCTCTTGTTTACTGACAAACATTCCACAATCCCCAAGTGAATCTTCAAATAAAACCTTTGAAAATACCTAATAATGAAGTCAGGCACTTTGCAAACTTCATAAATTAGTTATAAAAATAGAGCTGTGTACAATGAATCCCGAATAACACTGCTTTAATAGTGACTTACAGTGATTATTGTCAAAGCATGGAAAAAATATGCATTTCTCTCCCAAAAATAATAATAATAATACTGATGAAAAAATATATATTATCTGTATTTTGAGGATTCAGTACCTCATAAAGGCATTATTAAAGACTTCTAAAACTGTGGTTTATTGTTATTATTATATTATTAATGTTCTATGAATGTCCTTTCATATTTGAATTGTCATATGTGTATCAATTTGCGATGTGCTTAATTATCATCAGGAAACTTGATAAATCCTAAACCAACGTGCTAAATATGGGCTGATTAGCATAGAACATTTCTCTTTCTGGAAACTTGTTTTTTAAGGAACATACAGTACAAAAAAGGTCAAGATCATTGCAGTTGTAATGGGGGGCAGGAGAGCCATTTTGTAATGTTTTAATCCTGATGTAGGACTTCCACTACTAGACACTGTTGCCACAGTATGAGGAAGATATTTTGTTGAGTGGACAATGATAAGCTAAGAGCGTCATCTGGTCCTCTAAGCTTATCACTTATCACTGTGTGAGAGATTGAGAGAAATAGTATGTTTAGGAACAGTTTTACTAGTTACATGGAGTCCACTGGGCCCCCACCTTCACCTCCTTCGAAGCTTAATTCACCTGTATTGAGCTAATCCCGTCACTATATGGAGGAACTATTTGGCTTAGTGCATTCAGCTAACACTCTCACCAAATGAACTATTTCTGCACAACAGGGTTTAGATTAGCAGAGCTAATCAACAACAAGCACCTGGCAGACCTCAAGTACATTGAACTTACTTAAAGGGACACTGTAGGCACCCAGACCACTTCAGCTCATTGAAGTGGTCTTGGTGCAAACTCCCATATGGTTAACCCAGAGCATGTAATTATTGCTGTTTTTATAAACTGCAATAATTACCTGCTAGTGTTAACTCCTCCTCTAGTGGCTGTCTGCCAGACAGCTACTAGAAGGACTTCCAAGTGGATAGGTGACTTTCGATCGCCTAAACAATGCTGGACATCCTCACGCTTCCAGCATCTTCAGAATCCCCATAGGAAAGCATTGGATAATGGTTTTCTATGGGGAGATCCTAATACGAGCACGGCCATTGCCGTGCATGCACATTAGGTCTTCCCCGTTGGTGGACATCGGCAGGGGAGGAGTGTGGGCGGAGCTGAGCCAGCGTTGATGTCGACATCGGCGCTGGACCCAGGTAAGTGACAGAAGGGGTTGACAGAGGGGGAAGCTATAGTGCCAGGAAAGTGAGTTTCCCTTCAATGTAGGAGGGAGCTTATGCATTATAACCACTGTGGTGGTTATGGTGCTTGAAGTGTTTCTTTAAACTCCTATTATGCTGCCCTGTGTGTTTGTTTAACTATTCTTTTCTAGATTAACTTTACACCATTTCCTTTCTTGTATAATTAAAGTGTGTTATTTCTTTTCTCTTTTTTTCCTCAAGTGACTTGATATAGCTATCTCTAGCCTTTTAAAAATGTCATCAGAATGTAAAGTATATGCATTTTGCGTAGGTCACTCCAAGTTCCAAAACAGTACAATTACTCCAAGCATTTATACAATATAATGTATGGGGTACTACAATGCAGCCTGGAAAAATTCCTTTAGAATGCTTAGTGTACGAAAAGCACTTGCTCCTTTCCTCTCCTGACAGTCAAAATGAAACCTAGAATCTACAAAGGATTCTATTATAGGTGGTCCTCACTTTGAGACCTACCTGTTTTGCGACGGCTTTCACTTACTACCAACTCTCTAGCGTGGGGATTTAAGGGATTCCCCATGTTAGAGAGCTGGTAGATATTCAGAGAATTTCCCCCGAACATAGATTAGAGGGATTCCCTGCTCTAGTGTGTATGTCTGTGTTTAGGGACATTTCCCTAAACATATACAAGCGTACCAGAGCAGGGAATCCATCTAATCTATGTTTGGGGAATATTCCTGCACTAATGCGCATACGCCTCACTTACCATTCTCACTTACATGAGTGGGAATGGAGACACATGGAGGTGCTGGGTAGGGAGAGGGAATGGAAACACATGTTGGGACTGGGGGAGAGGTAATGGGGACACATGGAGGAGCTGGAGAGGGAATGAGACACATGAAGGGACAAGAGGAGAGAGGGAATGAGACACATGGAGGGGTTGGGGGAGGGAAATTTGTCATATGGAGGGACTGGGGTGAGGGAATGATACACATAGCGGAGCTGGAGGGAGAGTGAATGGAGACACATGGAGGGGCTAAGTGGTAGGAAATGGTACACATCGGGGGACTGGGGGTAGGGAATAGGACACATGGAGGGGTTGGGGGGCGGGAATGAGCTGCATGGAGTGGCTGGAGGGGACAAGATGCATGGGGGTTCCCAGGGCATTTTTCATATCAGGGCCCTATGAGTTCTAGTTATGCCTCTGGGTGCTGTTCCTGTGCATGTGATTGTATTGCCAGAGAGATATCAGAGAGTAAACCTTTTAGCTTTGTAGATCTCTCCCTGACAAGGTGTGGGTGTGCATCATTACTTGTTCATGAAGGAGCATGTCTCTGCAGATATAGTGTGCTCCTTTCTGCAGTTCTGAAATCTCAATACGGTGCAAATGCAAGGTTGTATACGTGGAATGAAAAACAGGTGAATTCATAGAGCAGATGTACTTTCTATATACCATAAATATGTGTGTTTATAGAAAGTTAGGATTTACTTTGCTGACGCTATTTATACTACATTGTATCTAGTCAATGGTATAGGAATGGATAATAAAAATACATATGCACATGCACACATACAATTTCATTAAATATCTGTCTAGTATTAATATATAAGTAATGTGTAATATATTAAATTACAACCACTGTGACTAAGGATTTGTGGGCACATAATTACATTTCTAATACAATTATATGCCCACAAATCTTACTGTTTATATTGATGCTAAACAGATATATAATGAAAATTATATTATTTTATTTTTAGAAATTATATTATTATACTATGATATCACTACTAGGAATAAAGGTTGTAACTAATCTATCCAGGGGAGCTTGAGACTTCTTTAGCAGAGCTCATGTTTGCTCTGTACAACAATAAGAAACAGGAGAACCAAGCAAGGTTAACCCCTTAAGGACACATGACATGTGTGACATGTCATGATTCCCTTTAATTCCAGAAGTTTGGTCCTTAAGGGGTTAACCCTGATTTACTGTTTTTTTGTTTTTTTTAAATCTTATCACATAAACTATGTACATAGTTTCCATGTACTGTAATGTGTTTTACATGCTTATTTATTTAACCCCTTATGGATCTATTGCCTTCTTAAAAATCTTTCCTTGATGCCAATATATCTGCAAAACTCAGGCCAAAATGATCAACTAGATTCGGACAATATTTTTATAGAATTTTGACACGATTTAAACCCAGTGATAAACGGGTCAGCTGCAGAAGCACATTGATCTGTATTTTTTAATAACTAACCCTAATATAAGCCAACCAGTTAAGGCCATCTGACTGGCACTGCTTAGTGTGGAGATGCCACCATATGGGCTCTTCCCATATGCAAGCTTAGTCTGTGCCAAACCCCTGCAGGGCGAAGGTGGATTATATGACATCTGATGATATAATGGATTACATGACATTTGATGAAAATATGACTATATATATATATATATTCCTCGTGCCCCACACTCACTGCTCCCGGTCTTGTAATGCCTTGGTGCTAATCCTGGCCATAATATAGAATACCTTGTAGGAAAGCACTCACAGGACTTGATATGGTTCAAAAAAATCTTTCTTTATTGCAGCAAAAATTTCAAGTAGAAAGTGTCAACGTTTCAGTCCCATCTGGACTTTTATCAAGACAATTAAACAGTGAAAAAAACAGCCTTTAAATATGCAGTGATCACATGTTCATTGGAAGGTGAAAACAAGGTGGAGTGAGGTCATAATCGACGTGTCTGTTTGCAAATAACGTAATCAGGATAATTGGTATGTTGATAAATAGAAAATAATTAAAAATACAAACAACACATAATAACATAAATACATCTATAAACATAGTATAGAAATTGTTATAGGGATAATACCATGGCACCAGCATGTATGCTAAATTACTCAGGAGTAAAGAGAGTTATATACAATTTTTCGCTAGTAATTAAGGAGCCACATGGCTAAATAATCCCAAATAACCAGGGAGTATCACTCCCATCACTAAGGACTCCCACGCCAGGCAATTGATGCACATTAGACTCAATGTAATGGCTTATTGTCTTTAAGTTATAATATCAGTGGCTAGCTTAATTGTAGCCCTCATTAAACTGAAATGTATCATACAAGCTGTAGCTGGCTTATGCA